CCGCTCCCCCCCCCACAATAGCTAAAAAAAACAAAAAAACCCCCCAAAAAAAACCCGGGCATAAAAAAAACCGCGCCCCCACCCCACCCCCCCCCCCCCCCCCCCCCCCCAAGGGGGAAAGTAGTGATTTTTTTGATTTTCTACCAGTTTTAAATCGGAAAATCATTTTAATAAAAAAAATCAATGTAATCGGAAAAATCAGTTTAATCAATAAATAAATTAAAATATTCAAATTAATCGAAAAATAAATCAAAATCATTTTAATTCAAGATATCAATTATTTTGTCACATTATTGAAATATATGAAGGCTGATTTTCGGCTGTAAGACTTCATACCCGGTTTTAAAATATTAAAAGTCATATTATATATGCATACAGCATTTGTGAAATATATCAACATGTCGTTCGTATTTACTTTCTTTAGTGTTCTTTTTTATAAACTACGACTGAAAATTGACGCGAAAAGATTTGAAACATCGAAGTTGTGAATATTGAACGAATGTGATTGCTTATATCGAATAAAAAGAAAGAATACACCATCATACATGCTAGTTCTTCCACAAACATATGTACATATATACATGTATCAAGGGATCATATGTCAGCGACGTTCTCTGACTAACGAAACAGAACGAAAAGATTGTCTTGTGATTGTTCTGCGCACTTATCCATTCACGTTTAGACTATTTGTTTCTCTGTTGATGTGATACTTATATCGTATCGTCTATTTTATTTTGAAGTTTAATAACTCTTTCCATGTCAGCAAGAAAGCCTTTCGTCAAGATCAACCATCTTCCAGATGATCTTTTTTCTTATCAAGACGAGCAGTTCTATGATTTCGTTAGAAAATACATCGGGAAAACATAAGCAGATTTACTGAAATTCGACACTTTAGCAGTGTCGACATTTATTTGAGCTGTAGCAATGTTCTTGGTCTGCTTAAATTAGATTCAGCTGACGATGGTAAGACAAGGAAAGAGTCTTGGTGCTTCTTCTAATTTGTCTGTAACCACCACAGTTAATATCAATAATACAACGACAATATCAGACTCTCCTCCAACAACTTTATCCATATCTTCACCAACTAATATTGGCATTTCCGATAATGTAAAAACCATTGATCATCGCAGAAAACGTATTATTTCAACTTTAAAAGAATGGATTGAAAAGAACAAGAAGAAGCGTGGTGATAACAATTTTAGTCTTGCTGAAAGTATCGACTATAATGTTAATGTCACTGTCGATCCTGATACAGCTATTATTCGATGTGGCTGTGGAGTCAAATCAACCTTACAATTAGCTTGTGGAAATTACCGGGTAAATATCATGTATACGTTTGAAAATAGCAAGACTTATGTTTTTTTTTGCAGGTATTCAACTATTATCGTCACCTCAAGACAAGAAAATGCATAATGATGAAAAGTAAATGTTCACACACAACTGAAGAAGAAAATGACGACTTGATGGATCAAACTGAGGAAAATTTGGTAAATTCTTCTCAAACTACTAATCCTGTCACTATTTCTGGTTCAACTATATTATCAAGTCAAAAACGACATGTTTCATTTGCTTCTTCTCTGGATCAGTCGGTCAAGAAAAAACGTACTGTATAGGAACGAACGTATCTTGTTTTTAATGTAATTTTATTTTTAGCATGCTTCCATGGTTTCGAAATAAACAAAAGACTTTGGAGTGGAATTGAATATTTAGTACTGATTTTTTGCGTGAAATCATGATTTTCGTCTAGTTCGGGGTTAAGGCTGCGTATTTCTGCAATTTCCAAGAAATCGGGATAATAGTACCGCTTCAACGAAATGATGATGTTCTTTGGAACATTTTCCATAGACAGTTTTTTAACGGTGACACTCCTTTCGCCGCAGCGGCTGCAGTCAGCAAGGTTTTTCTGTTCCGGTTGCTCCATATTGAAGTAAATGTCAAGGCACTGTTCGATAGTTATTCCACTAATTTTTCGAACAATTTTTAGGTGTTCTTCTCCTGGATTCGATCTTCAGAAGATCGAATCCAGGGGAAGAACACCTAAAAATTGTTCGAAAAACGAATATCTCTCCTAAAAAGTTATTCCACAAAGTTGCAATTGTATATTCAGTTCTTTAGTGGTCTGCATAGCAGCATAGTAAGTAAGGTGAAACCACACAAAAAATCATTCTTTTCCTCGTTTTAAGCACATTCTAAAATAGACTTAGATCAACCTCGTATAAACAAGACCACTCTTTCTACAAGTACTTCTTTCGATACCTCAGCTCTCAATCGCAGTTCAATACCACGTGCAAGGGATGGAAGCAATATAAAAATGAATGAAAACCTATACACACCGATGAGTATTGGACAAGATCTTGAAATAACTGACGTAATCACGCATAATCAACGCGATCTCCGAGACGAATCGCTAGATGAGGTAAGTCCCGACGGTAAGTATGGGTAACTCTTCTCGAAAATTTTCCTCAGCACAATTCTGAATTACGGCCGCTTTACTTCGACAGAAGAAGAAGAAGAAGACTACATAGAACCGATCATGCTGGGATCAATGAATGATCTGAACGCAGTGGCCGAGAACGTCGACGTCGAAACCGGTAAAATATAGTTCAAGAGAATACAGATACCTGACTCACATGAAAGAGACTGAAACCTATACAACGGAAAAAATCGAGACTCCATGTACCATTAAAATGATCAATGAGATATGAGGAAAAAATATTGGTTTCCAAAAAAAGTTGCTCGTTTTTACGCATTTCTTACGCGTCGTATTTGAGTTTTTGCATTTTTTACAACACTTACTAGAAATCTGACGTTAAAATGACTGCAGAAACTGTACAAAAAAGTCAAATAAAACTCGTAAAAATGGGCATCCCGTTAAAAAAACGAGAATACTCTTGTCTTACCTCATTAATCGTTTTAATGTAACATGGGGGCTCGCTTTGTTTTCTGAGATTATACAAAAGCCGATTTTTTAGACTCGGAATCAGACTCAGAAAACAACACACCGGGTATCATTATTCGAAAGTCGCGTCGCGATAACGAGAATGACGACCACAACTATTCATCGAATATTCAAAATGATTCAATACGAGCTGCGAGCCGACTGACTGGACTCGACTTGCCACTTCACTTTAAAAAGAATGTCGATGAGTTCAGACGTATACAGATGATGCCAGAACACTTAAGTTTGTTGAAAGAAGTTCAGCTCAAAAAATACCGATCACGATCCCGTTCAAATAATACAAATTCAGCTCAAAGTCTACGTGGAAACTCCCGTTCTAAATCACGTTCCCGGCCCAATCCTGTTGAGAAAAGTGGAAGACGAGTTGTAGATGCTACAGTTATCGAAACTATGCTTATTTATATAAAGCAGGTGAACAAATACTGTTCAATCTGTTTCATAAATAATCAATTTGGTCGGTCAGATAAACAGAAAGGGACCACACATTTACTAACCTCATCGGGTTACTGCTGTCACGAAGAATGCAAATTCAAGTTTTCCATGAAGGTCAATCAAAGTGGAGAAATAAGAGTTGAGACCACCGGAAACATCATACACACTCGCGATTTTGCAACACGACCTATAAGAGGAAAGAGTCGGGAAGCATTAAAAGAAAAGTTCCGATACGGTGCAAATTATACCAAACTTTACCATCAAAAACTAATGTCAATTCCAAAAGACGTTCTACAGGCAGGAAATTTGGACGACGTTGGATTGTCCCCTGACATATTCCGTAAAATCGCCGGCTTTGACAGCAAACAATCGTTAGCAGATTTATCAGTGAACATGCAAACACTCAAAACAAATTACGACAAAGAGGTAGACCCAAATTCACAGTTGCCAGGAATCATACGAGTATTCTCCAGTATACCACTTGGTACCACCTGTGCAACCTACGCTGCAATACAGCTCTGGGATATCTACACGGATGATAAAAAAGCGGAAATAACCTGGGACGCCACTGGCAATGTCGTTCAGTCTATAGCACATCAAAAGAAAACACTTTACTATGAAACGACAATCGCACATCCAGTAAAACGTGCCACTTCTATTCCGTTAACGTTCCTGCTCAGCGAGGTGCAAAATCAAAATAAAATTACACAATGGCTCAATAACTTTAAATTTTACTACAAGACAGTATTTCCACATAAACAATTTCCTATACCACAGCTGCTAGTCAACGATCGTGCTCAAGTACTCATTCAGTCTGCCCTTGAGGTTTTCAACAAAGAAAGCTTCAAAGATTTCAACGACAGAGCATACCGAATCCTAACGGGTAAGCTCTTCAAAACTAACTGTTTAAAATTCATCGATTGCTTAAGACGAGGTTGATTACGGAATAGTTCATTTTCTTTTAGGAAACGCACGCCCTACAGATCTTTCAAAGACAATTGTGCATGCATGTACCAGCCACATAATGAAGGACTTTAGGGTTTTATGTGGAACATCAAAATTGGCAGAACAAGACGTCAATCAAGCAATGTTTAGTGCTTCTACATTGCTGAATTCATTGACGTACGACGAACTCAAGATTAATTACAAATATTTTTGTGCCCTTTTTTTATATCCAAGGAACACGCTACAAAACCGTATCGCTCAGGAAGAGCTTAATAAATCGTTGTTGCTACTTGGTCAAGAAAATCACGATCAAGTTCAAATGATAACACGTGAGATGCCGAACTTTAAAGATATCAAGGAATTCGACCCATATTCGTTCAATGATGACGCTGAAAACACAGACACTAACAACGCCTCAATCACTGTACCCGCCACACTTCCAAAGAAAAAAACTCAAACCTGGCTCTCAGAGGAAGATCTGTATAATCAGTTTGATTCCACCATAAAACAGGATATGCACTCAATCTTCGTGCAGGTATGTCAAGATTCCGCTGCGCATCGAAGCGATAGGCTGAACCAGATTCTGTTAGAAATGAAACCATTACGAAAAAACCGACAGACACAGACTCAAACTCCATCTCTACTTCAATCAGACGAACCGTCAACAGCTTTGACTCCGCGAGAGAATTTCATATCATCATTCAATCGGTTGTACATGCCTACCGCACATTTGTGGAGTAATGTCTTACTCGGGGATCTTGGCAGATATCAACTGGACACGTCGTCGTTAAATCGTAATGAAATTCATACTGACATCTTTCGCATTCAACGTACTACCGGCACAAGTGAGAAAAGAATGTCTATAGTGAAGAATATTCAACTTAATCACAAACTATTGAAACGGATCGACTTAGTTGTTCAACATCTATGCGACGAAACGCTTCGATTCAACGACAGGCTGGCCTCCAGCTGCTTCAAAGTACACGGAAGCCAACAATAAAACAGTTGCAAGAAAGGTGGAGTTCAAAAAAAGTGGGTTACTTCCAGAAGGGCGGCAAAGGCGTCAAACAAAGACTAATGGTATTCCTTCCAGAGATACGCTGTTATATAGACAATAAGAAATTACCTCTCCGGCATCAGAAGACAGACGAACTTGATTACCAGCAAAATTTGATTCGTGCAGCGTTGTGCTCAATGACTATTCAGTCAGGAGTTAAATATTATAAACGTGGAGCACATTTAGTATGTATCGACGACCTTGCGTTTGTAATGGTACAAATAATCGTTGAAGCGCCAAACAAAGTTAAAGAGACAGAGGTACTACTGGCACTTCAGGGTTTGCAAGACGCCGTGACTCAAATGACTAGTCCAAATAATTCTATGCCTGTAATCACATAATTTCGAAAGTTTATTAAGCCGGCAATAAACACTGTAACAACGATTGAATGTTGTCTGAAATCTAATTGTCAGAATTGTGGAACAAATTTTAGTTACGTGCATTCGCATGATCTTGTCATTTTTCAGTCAAGTGATGTACATCATACATCTGAGTTTCTCGATCAATTGAAATTAAGTACTCTACGTAACGAAGCCTGCCCAAATGAATGCGACTTAAGCACCGTAGGAACAGTAAATAGTATGCAAATTTCCTTCTGTCCTGAGGTAATCGTCATTTTTAAAAATCAATCTCTTACTCGTGGCAAAAATGAAAGCTTTCTGGAGCAAATATCTATACACGAACATCTAAGCGAAAAAGTGTTGAGTGTCGTTTATTATGGGTCATACCGACTCGTTTCTGCAGTTTACGAACAGAAGCAAGGCATGTATGGAACTGTCTGTCTGGGAATGGATAATTATTATCACCGGACAGAAGGCGGAAAAAGCATGAAATTAACTAAGAAGACAAAAGATGAGTACTTGAAGTGTACCACTATATTGTATTACCAGAAGATAAGTAGATTTTGTTTCTTGAATGTCTAAAAATTGAGTAGATTTTGCTAATTTTTTCCTCTTCCATCTAGGTTCGAGTCATAGGAGTAGAGTTTCTGAATGCGCTGGTCTCATTACTCAACTACCAGGACTTGATAACTGAAACGCGTGATCCGCCAAATTATTCACTATTGGACTATCTGCGATCAATCCAGCAACTGTATCCAGAGATTGCAAACAAAATGATTTTCAAGGTGATGCGTTCTACATTTCCGCCTAAATTTCAACCTTTTTGTTATTGATCTGTATCTTATTGCAGGTGTCCGTGGAATACAAGTGCCCTTACTGCCGAGAACCATGTCTCTCTATGAATAAAAAAGACATACATATATTCACAGACAGTAATCCTTCCGCTTTGCAGTTATTCAACTTTCCCTGCAACAAGCAGTGTTATCACTGCTCAACACACAGCGACTACTTATCCGCCGACGTCGAAAAACTGGAAATTGAGACATCACCAGAGATACTATTCTGTGTCTCAACACCGACGCAGTTCAGTAGACACTGCGTGCTTTGGGTAGGCAAACCGGACGGTGCGTCATCATATACCGCCGAATATGAGCCCATAGGAGCGCTATGCATTGCGCCAGATAAGGATCGACTCGGACTACTCAAAAGATCGACAACAAACAAAGATAAGTGGATCTATACAGACGCGAATCCGTAAGGCCTGATATGTCAACGACGTGCAGCTAAAAAAGGCTTAAGACGTATAGGTCTCTTCTCGTATCTCCTTTTGCCTTTTGAAGCTGAAATGGTCGTTTTGTGAACAAATTTTTTGCCAAAATGTGACGTTAGAGATCAATATGACATTAAAGCTTGTCCACGCGTGACGCTGCAACGTTTTCGACTCACTTAAGCGCGACTGCACGTAATGATCGAGCATTTTTCCAGAGAGCCAAAACATAAAATTTTTTAACTCCTATTTTCTATTACATATTCGGATTCAGTGCATCAGACTGTGGCAACGAAAAAGTCTTTAGCCAGTTTTGACTCAATTTAACCGAGTTATGCATTTTTTTATATGTGCGCGTGGAAAAAAACTCTGAAAAAGTGAGATTTCCGGCATTTTGTCGATAACTCCGTCAAATTTCGTCCATTTCATTCGAGCAACATGTCGTTTGAAAGCGCGAGAAACATTAAATTAGGAAATGTGTTTTCAAGTGAGTTATGTGTCAAAATAGATTGTTAAAAATAATAACTCTGAAACAAACATGTTTTCGAAAACACATTTCTTTCGAGCTCTTTCCAATTATTAAAGCCGCCTTAATATTTCCCAGAGATTTGGACACCGATTCTTATAGAGCAGAAAAATAGCTACAAACCTACCGCAAAATTATTTAGTAAAAAGGGGCGGAAAAGGTAAAAATTTTGGAAACACGATGGCTCAGTGACGGATATTTTTGCAACTTCGTTGAGTTTTTCACGTTTTTCTCCATCGAAATGAAAATCAAACTGAAAACGAGACCATATTCGGCATCCGCACACAGTTCTGCGTGGGCAGATGTGTCTCTCATTTTATTTCAAAAACTTTGTTTTTTCGAGAATCCTAGGGTGCACCCTATGATAAAGCTTTTTGGAAAAAATGAAAGTGAGTTTTTCGAAAACAGTTTTGTTCAGAATTTGACGCTGATTCCGAATATATAATTTTTCCTTCAAAAAAATGGGATTCAAAGTGACCTTACCCGCCTCCCTCCTTTTTACAAGCAGAGGACAAGAAGTTAAAGATTTCACATTTCGTGTTTTTCGTGCATTTAAACTGCAGGTAATTTTTTTTAGCCGTTACCCCGTAAGCAAAAGAGTTCCGCTTCAAATGAACCTCTTGCGAATCCCTGTATAGTTTCTTTATCAAGTTTTTCTGTTAGACATTGCAATTTCATACCTGAATATACCCTTACAAAACTTCAGAAGGACGTCTCGCAAGTTTAAGCGAACAGCGTTTATGGATTGTCTCTACACCCAGTATTGGGAAATGCCGCCCCGATTTTTCGTCACTGTAATCAACGATGCTTGGAGAATAATCACAGTTTTGAGAAAGGTTAATGAAACTCATTTAAATTACGGAACCTCCAAAATCGCGTGGAAGCAATAATTTATCCTTTTCATTCACACCTTGGTCCTTCTTCGCTAATGATCGTATACTCGGATCCTTACTTATCCAAAATTTCATGATTATGGTACTTCAAAATACCTCCGAATCTGGCTACTTCAAACTTTTCTTAAATTATATCCCGACAAATTTAGACAAACAAATATGTTTCTCTTGCTATTATCACTTGCGCTTAGCAGGATTATTTTAGCTGCACAAGTTAGCAGTACGAAAACTTTCAACATGGATAATAGTGCAGCTTAGCAGTTCTAACTACAAAGAATATTTATTACTTACGAGATCTGAAGTTGAAACTGATGGAATTTGATCGTGTACGTTATTAGCAAACCATTATTAGGCTGTCAAGCAGTAGTTTTTGAGGCTGTGGTTACTAAAACAGAGGAAAAAAAATATCGTGATGTAACAATAATTACGAATGAGGAAAAAAGGTAGTGTTTTCAGTCTCAAAATCAAATTATTCGCGTTATAGCAACTTGAGTTGATAATAAAAGAAGCAATAGTGGTCACTTTTTCTTTATCACATAATCACTATCCTCTTATGCACTCACCCTTGAAACACGGAAGTCAGACGAAAGTTTACAGCGACTCTAAACAGTTTTATTCAGCTCCGTCTAATTTTAAGTATAACACAAACAATATTTTTTTTTCCTCTGACAACAAAAAAAAAAAACGATTAGTGTCGCTCAGTTGCAAACCTCACTACAGAATGATTAATTACTGTTCTACTTCCTACAAGTATTTTAAATCCATACTGATGTACATGTTCATCAAAATTGTCAGTTCTGTCTAACTTGAACTAAAAATGAAATGCTTCGTTGATCATTCACTGGGAAAACTATTAGCTAGCATTTCAGAAAAACCTTTACAGTTCATCCCAGGGAAGCCACAAAAACTTGCGGAACGTCTCATTTTAACCAAATTCAACACTCTACCTATTGGCTAACTTAGAGTTTGGTGAAACTGTCTTGGGATTTTTCGAGGGTTTCTGGAAAACCAGCTTTACAACACAAGGTAGCGACCTTGTTACAACCACTGTACATGATTTTTGAGGGTTGATTTCGAAAGATCTCGTCGGGATTTTTCGTTTGAGACCAAAATGAAGGTTCTGTCAGCTTCGGATGAGCCACTATGAGTGTCACAAAATCGACTGTTAGCTGAGAAATAGTTGAAAAAAGGACATTTTGCAGGAAACTTATTGTCCATAATTTTTTCCGCACTAGCTAGAGACCTGCGATTTTCGCCGCTGAAATCAACGTGCAAAATTGCATCAGAAAATGTGGTTTTCAAACGGAGCGCACTTGGTCGATGTATTGATGGTAGGTTTCAGATGCATTTAGCCACCTCTTTTTTAGAGATAAATCTCGTTGTTCTGTACCATGCGTAAGAAGAGGTACAATAACTAACGCTTATATACACTTTAAGTGACTTATCTGGTTCTTGTCACCGTTATTTTATTCTTTATCAGTGCGTACATACAAATGTAATTAATGTTAGGCGATTTGAAATCGTCTTTTTTTCTTTATTTTACTGAGTCTTGAGTGCTTTAAACAGAACTGGGTTAATAGTTGATTTCTTATCATTTCCTTCATTTTCAAAATATGAAAGGAGTGTTCATACAAATTGCATCTTTCTCCTTCTCGTTGTTTTACTGTGTTCTCTTATCAGTTACTTTCTTGTTATACGGTTGGAGTCGATTTTACTTATTTCTCAATAGTAACGTTGCAGAGAGGGACGAGTCAGAGCTTTCTCGAATTGCGGGTGATGTCACAAAAAAAATTCCGTGAGTCGTGTCAGCTCGAGTCGTGTGTCAAAATTTTTTTACCGTGTGCCGCCCCCGCACACCCTTACTCTAATAGAGTCAAACTTTGCCCACTCACAAACACCAGTATTTTTTTTTTTCCTTGAAAAGCCTTGCACTTCCTCAATCAGCGTTTCTGCTTTAGGGCTAGTTTCTCGTAATCTTTGAAAACCCAGAAAAATTTTCGGGTCGGGTGCGGGTATCCGTGCACATCTCTACACCACAGCAACAAACCGGGTAAAAGCCCATTATATGTTGTCTAGATGGTACAAGTGGAGAAAAAACAAAAAATTTTTTTTGTTTTTTCTC